TAAGCTTTTTTAGAGATAAGCTTTCAGATTATTAAAACCTTGCTTATTTTGAGCCGCTTTGTTAAGGCAAGCAGGCTCATACGTTGAGTACTTATGGCCGTTTCGTAGATATGTGGCCTTAAGCATCTGTTGTTTCAGAGGTCGATCGATTATATCCTGCGTGTCCTTAATGTCATCTACATTTATTGAGTTCCCAGTGCAGAATCACAAAAAATTCACATAATTGACGCTAATGATATTTCTGCTGTCCATCGCAAGTTAATATTGTTAAGTGTAATCCAATTTTACTGAGGCGCTTAGGGCGTGGCGTGATGGAGGATTATTGTTACTCTTTTAAAAATGGCTGCAAAATCAGTCGTTAGATCTTGTATATTTGACATTCAGTACTGTCTGTCATTCAAGAGTTCATGAAGCGAAATTTTTTCTATTGTGGAGAGAAAGCGTCTGGAAATGCTGTAATAATAGCACATGAAGATAAACTGACATGATTAATGTAACACAGTTGAGAAAGGGTACAAGGCATTTTAGTGCATCTTTTCTTTCTAACTGTAAGTTACAGACGTTGGATCTCGTTTTGCAGTATGTTCAGAATATTCAGGTGTCGTTTGTCCGTCGTGCATTTGACGGTATTAATGATAATGAAAGTTATCTGAATAATTATTGTGACGCACTGTACAGTTGAACATCATATCTGTAAAAAGCAATAGGTTGTCAGTTTTTTACTGAAATTGACAGGGATGATTTTATTAAACATTTTCCAGCTTTTTTGGTTCGTTGTTCATCAGAGGCTTTCATAAGTACCGTAGCTGTTGAAGAGAGCATTAAAATTATCTTTAGTAATGCTTCTGCTGTATGAGCGAGCTCTTGGATCTCTTTGTGTATGGAATTGTTTAATGCGCTTTTGACAGATAATTCGTAATTTTGGCCTACTGGTGACCAACTGTGTAACCTGTTTTGTTTTTTGTTGTTATTTTAATTTTGTGTAATTTATTTTTTTCTAGAGGGAAGTTATAAGTATTCACATCGGACAAGCTGGTGTGCAAATGGGCAACGCCTGTTGGGAGTTGTACTGTCTTGAGCACGGTATTCAACCTGATGGACACATTTTGGTGGCTGATCGAAAAGATGCGGACGATTCCTATACCACATTCTTCAGCGAGACCGGCACCGGTCGATTAGTACCCCGGGCGATTTTTGTCGACCTGGAGCCAACCGTCATAGGTTACTCACTTATTTTCCGCTGTATTCCACTGTTACCATGTGTGACGTTTTTTAGATGAAGTTCGAACGGGACCGTATCGCCAGCTGTTTCATCCAGAACAACTGATCACCGGCAAGGAAGATGCCGCGAACAATTACGCTCGTGGTCATTACACCATTGGGAAGGAAATCATCGATGTGGTGCTCGACCGTATTCGCCGGCTGACCGACAATTGCACAGGCCTGCAAGGCTTTTTGATTTTCCATTCATTCGGTGGTGGCACTGGCAGTGGCTTCACTTCGCTTCTCATGGAACGGCTGTCTGTAGATTACGGCAAGAAGAGTAAATTGGAATTTGCTATTTACCCAGCTCCACAGGTCTGATTTTATATTAAAAAAATGTTGTTGGATGTGGGGTGTTATACTAGCAGCACTTTTTCAGCTTTCTACTGCTGTCGTAGAGCCGTACAATTCGATTTTGACTACTCATACAACGCTAGAGCATTCTGACTGTGCTTTCATGGTGGATAACGAAGCAATTTTCGACATTTGCAGGTGGCTTGAATCATATGAAATGAGATGACTTGAAAAGGTACTGATGGATATCATTTTAGGAGAAATCTTGACATAGAGCGCCCAAGTTATACTAACCTCAATCGACTGATCGGTCAGATAGTGTCATCGATAACGGCTTCGCTGAGATTCGACGGTGCTCTTAACGTTGATCTCACTGAATTTCAGACCAATTTGGTGCCCTACCCTAGAATTCATTTCCCGTTAGTCACTTACGCACCTGTCATTTCTGCCGAGAAGGCGTATCACGAGCAGATTTCCGTGTCAGACATAACGAATCAGTGTTTTGAACCTGCGAATCAAATGGTAAAATGTGACCCGCGACACGGAAAGTATATGGCTGTTTGTCTACTGTACCGTGGAGACGTTGTTCCAAAGGACGTCAACGCGGCGATCGCTAGCATTAAGACTAAACGATCGATCCAGTTCGTCGACTGGTGTCCTACCGGTTTCAAGGTAGGCTTGTGCTCGCATATCTTTGAAAAGATGTTATTTGGTTGTTATGTCAGGTTGGAATAAATTACCAACCACCTACGGTGGTTCCCGGCGGAGATCTGGCCAAAGTTCCTCGAGCTGTTTGCATGTTGTCAAACACCACCGCAATTGCAGAAGCGTGGG